TATGTACTATCTCCAAGAAATTCACTTCAAATAAAAGAATATAGGCAGACTGAAAGTAAAAAGATAGAAAAAGATATTTCATGAAAGTACTAATGAAAGGAAAATAGGAGTATCTCTGTTAATATCAGACAAAATAGGGATGCCTGGGTGGCTCAGTCAGTTAAGCGTCTGACTTTGGCTCAGGTCATGATCCTAGTGTTCTGGGATCCAGCCCCACCTCAGGCTCCCTGCTCAGTGGGGAGCCTACTTCTCCCTCTCCCTCTGTAGCTCCCCTTGCTTGTGCTGTCTCTCTCTCACTCTCTCTCAAATAAAATCTTTAAACAATAATAAAAGAAAAAGAAATAAAAGGAAAATGAGTAAGTATATTAGAACTCAACATCATCAACCAGTAGGATATAATAGACATTTATAGAACACAACTCTAGGGGTGCCTGGGTGGCTCAGTTGGTTAACCATCTGCCTTCAGCTCAGGTCATGGTCCCGGGGTCCTAGAATCGAGCCCTGTGTTGGGCTCTCTGCTCAGCGGGGCGCCTGCTTCTCCCCCTGCGTGATACTCTGCCTGCTTGTGCTCTTTCTCTGTCAAATAAATAAATAAAATCTTAAAAAAAAAAAAAAAAAAAAGCACTCGGGGCACCTGGGTGGCTCAGTGGGTTAAGCCTCTGCCTTCGGCTCAGGTCATGATTCCAGGGTCCTGGGATCGAGCCCCACATCGGGCTCTCTGCTCCTCAGGGAACCTGCTTCCTCCTCTCTCTCTGCCTACTTGTGATCTCTGTCAAACAAATAAATAAAATCTAAAAAAAAAGCACAGATCAATATCCATCATCAATATAGATGCAAAAATCCTCAACAAAAGATTAGCAAGTAGGGGGCGCCTGGGTGGCTCAGTTGTTAAGCATCTGCCTTCGGCTCAGGTCATAATCCCAGGGTCCTGGGATCCAGCCCTGCATCTAGCCCCCTGCTCGGCGGGAAGCCTGCTTCTCCCTCTCCCACTCCCCCTACTTGTGTTCCCTCTCTTGCTGTGTCTCTCTGTCAAATAAATAAATCTTTTAAAAAAAGATTAGCAATTAGGATTCAGCAATATGTAAAAAGAATCACACACCATGACCAATTGGAGTTTTTTCCAGGAATGCAAGGTTGGTTCAATATTCAAAAAAAATCAATCAATTTAATCTACCAAATTAACAGGCTAAAAAAGAAAACTTACATTATTACATAATCAGTGCAGAAAATGCATTTGACAAAGTCAGCACCTGTTGATGATAAAAACCCTCAGGAAAATAGAACTAGAAAACTTCCCCAACGTGATTAAAAAAAAAAAAAAATCTACCAAAAATCTACACCTAACTTTATACTTAATAATGAAACATTGAACACTTTGCCCCTAAGTTCAGGAACAAACCAAGAATGTCTACTGAAGGATTACTACTAGCAAAAGAAAAACGATCCTAGTAGACAATTCTCTACAGGTTTGTCATATTTCTGTGTGTCTTTTAAGTAAAATACCGACTGCTCTTTGTCCCAGACTATCTTTTCAAGGATATTGATGAGCAAACAGTTTTGGAAAATAAATATATTTCCCCCTTTAGAGCAAAAGGCAGGCATGCTTACTGACTGTAACATTTAGGTTCTCTGAGATAAGTGTTTCTCATTGTAGTGCACACCACTATACAAGCAGGCATCCATGTGTGTTACCCCCAGAGGACTTGAGGGCAAAAGAATTTGATCCAGAAGAGAAAAGTCACATAATCAATATGAAGAATATAAAAAAAGACACCACTAAAAATGCTACACACATTAAAATGATAAAAAGATATCATGAACTTATTTCAATGTTTGAAAATGTAGATGAAAACTGCTAGAAATTATAACCTACCAAAACGGACTTCTGAAGAAAGAGAAAACATAAATAGTCCTCTAACCATTAAAAAAAAAAATCAGCATTTTGAAAAAGATTTTATTTATTTGACAGAGAGAGACACAGAGAGAGAGGGAACATAAGCAAGGGAAGTGGGAGAGGGAGAAGCAGGTTTTCCACTGAGCTGGGAGCCAGATGAAGGGCTCAATCCCAGGACCCCAGGATCATGACCTGAGCTGAAGGCAGCTGCCCAACGGGCTGAGCCACCCAGGTGCCCTGAATCAGTATTTCTTTTCTAAAATCAGCTTTAGAGAATTCTATCAGACATTCAAGATAAAATTCTTGTCTTACAGAAACTCTTGTCAAGATTAGAAAAAGAGAATACAAACCCCAACTCATTTTCTAAGGTTAGCCTAATCTTTTTTAAGGTTAGCCTAATCTTAATATAAAAATCCATCAATGATAGCATGCAAAAGAGAAACTATACACCAATCTTACTCATGAAGATAGCTGCAAAAACTCTACACAAAATATTAGCAAATTGAATCTAGCAGCATATGCCAGGGATAATATGTCATCTAGAAATGCACATATAGGGGCGCCTGGGTGGCTCAGTCTGTTAAAGCCTCTGCCTTCAGCTCAGGTCATGATCTCAGGGTCCTGGGATGGAGCCCCGCATCGGGCTCTCTGCTCAGCGGGGAGCCTGCTTCCTCCTCTGTGCCTGCCTCTCTGCCTACTTGTGATCTGTCAAATAAATAAATAAAATCTTAAAAAAAAATGCACATATATCATCTTAATAGGAAATAAGTCTAAAAATTTAATGTCTGTCCAATAAGAGATATCTACAAAAAACTGTGACAAATGCCATACCTAACAGATGAAACATTGGAAACTTCTCCTTTGAGCTCAGAAATGAGGCAAACTTGCAAACACTCCTCTCCCCAGAAATCTTTAGTAAAAGGGGACACATTTAATTTGAAGAGATACCAGAGTGTACTTAGCTTATGTTTGCCACTTTTTCTGTAATTAACTAGTTCTCCAAGACTGGTGTCTGTTCCTGTGCTGCGGTGCTACTGCTAGGAAAATTTGTGAAAGGGATTTTTGGAAAAGACATATGTTGGTCCAAGAAAACAAGGAAATGTGCAGTTTTTAACAGAAATGTAGTAGGGAGGATGGCACCCATGGGTATGCAAATGAGCCCGCTGGGTGAGATGGTAGGGTTTGGCCAGTAGCGCAGGGTCACAGCTGACCCACCCACTGCCCCGAGTGGGAGGGGTCCAAAACATTTTTTTAAGGGGCCGTGGGTGGCTTAGCTGGTTAAGTATGGGATTCTCTGTTTCACCCCAAATCACGATCTTTTGAGTTGTAGGACCCACCTGCCTTACGTTCCTAGATCTCTGAGAAGGCTGCTTGAAAGATACTCCTGCTCACTCTGATTCCTCTTAACTCATGCGTGCGCTCTAAGCAAGTCTTTTATTCTCTTAACTCGTGCGTGCGCTCTAAACAAGTCTTCTAGAACAATACTTACAGACTTGGGGGGGGGGGGGAAGAAGACAGCATATTTTAAAATGTTGCTCAACTCTAGGAAGCCTTGGAGCCCCAAAAAGCAGTGTTGCTTAACTTTTAAGTTAAAGTTTTTACTACTTCTTTATCAAGACAAGAACCTATTTTTGACACAAACAGTTGGCCTTACCTAAGTAAGGCCTCCAAAAATTGCACTATCAATTCTCTAATGTTTCATTCCGCAAACACTCTTGACGTTTATGCCAAAAAGCCAATTAAAGCAGAAAAGAAACACTGTATGGAAAAATCTGCGCCCATCCTCACGGATACTGGCTGATCCCCCTATGCTTGCGGTGCCTTTACACCTACCAGCAAACGCTTTTCTTCCATGGCAGAGAATTATCTCAAGCATATCCTTACTGGGCAAAACTTTCCTGACAGGGACATAAAAGGTTAATTTTCACTATTCGAAGAGATATTAGTGGTAATAGTTCCCATGTGTCTATTATGAGTCCTGGTATGTAAATGAGCTAGTCAGGGAACTACGCTTCCCGACGTCTTAGCTCCCCCTAGCTCCCCCTCGCTCCCCCCCGCTCCCCCCCGCTCCCCCTAGCTCCCCCTAGCTCCCCCTAGCGTAGAGAGGACCCCGCACCTGACTACCCAGCTGGGCAACAGCATGTTTTGTCTTTTCTGTCTTCCATGTAGCAAGCATGTGAGATTAAAATAACACTTATCCCAGTGTCCCATCACTTGACCAACTTCCCCTGCCCTCTTCCAGCTCTGTCTTTGTGATTTCCTCTTGACAAAACTATTCCTGGAGCAAAAGGCGTTTAGAGCAGCCTTGCCCAAAGACTGGGGTAATGCTGAAATGAATAAATGGCTGCAAAGTATCTATAGGAAAACCCCCCTCCATTAACTCTAGTTCCTTCCTCCTTCCTAAACAAGTGTTTCCTTTATGCTCCCACATCCTTCCTGGCCATAGTATCTTAACTGAAGTGCTTTATCTCTATGCCTCGTTTCCTGGGACCTATAATGGGTTAACGAGACGGTGTCATTGCAAAGCAAAGCTCTTTTGGTTATGGTGAGCTTCAATGGGATGCTGTGTGGAAAGCCTAGGGAAAGAAGGGATCCATATATGGTTTGTCAGAAACTACTGCAGTCTACCCGGCTTCAACCCTTCTCACTCTCTGCCACACATCCTCCACCCACTTGCTCTGTCTCCCTCACTCCTGGGTCTTGTCCCATCCTTTCTCCCCTTGAAGACCTAGCCCCTCCCACCTCCGTGACACCTCAGTGGGGCCTCCAGCTCTGACAGCCTCTTAGTCTCCTTGATGGGTAGGCTCACCGTCCAACCTTTCTTCCTCCCTCTGTAGCTAGTTCTGTGAAGGGAGAGTGAGGGGAATGAGGCTCGACCCCCTCCTCCTCCTCTTAGCCCCAGATCCAGCAGGACTGTGGTGTTGCCTCCCCAGCTTCTCCCACACACATCTTGCATGGTGCTGGCCAGTAAAAGGTGCTAGGAAAAGTGCAGGAAGGGGATGGGGGTAAAAGGAAGCAACTTGGTTCAAGGGGGTCTTTGCTTGCTTGGTGGGGGTGGGGGCGGTTTGGAGCGTCAGGCCTCCCCAGGTTCTCTGCCCTTCAACAGCCATCGAGCTGATCAAGGACCTGGTCAACTACGACGTGTGCCAGACGCTGCTCAAGGGCCTGGTGGAGCTGCTGATACCGTCCGTCAAGGAGACCAGAAAACTGCAGCCCAAGATCCTCAACGGTAGGGAGTCGCTCAGATTGAGGCTGGGGGGCTGGGGGTGGGGGGTGGGATGCAGGTCCTCCCGCCTCACGGCCGCCCCCTCCGCCAGACTCCTTGGTTCCCCAGCTCACCGCCCACCTGCCGGTGTTCTTGCAGCAGGCCGCGGCGGCCAAGGCCATCGGGTAAGCGGGCAGGGGGAATGGGGATGGGGGTGGAATGCGGCAAGCCAGCTGGCGGGGCCCGCGGGGCCCGGAGGGGCTCGGGCCGCCCGGCGCCGGAGGGTCCCAAGGGCTCGCCGCCGCCCGAATTCCCGGCCCAGGGTCCTGGCGCGCAGCAACACGAGCATCGCGGAGGAGATGCTGCACCTGCGCGTGGTGCACAGCCTGTTAGCCGCCATGGGCAACTCGGACCACTGCAACAGCCAGCGGCAGGCCAGCCTCACGCTGGAGGTGAGCGGCTGGACGGCGGGTGGGTGGGCCCCAGGCGAGGGCACCGCAGTCACCTCGCCGCCCCGCCCGCCGTCGCAGTACTTCGTGCAGATGTTCCCGGTGGTGGAGGAGCACGTCCGCCGGTCCATGGGAGAGGAGCTCTACCAGCTCTTCCTTGTAAGCGTCCCCACCCCCAAGGGTCGGGGCCCCACGGGAAGGTGCCGCCTCCACAGCGTCCCTCCCCCGGGCCACACCCCCTACGCCCGCTGCGCCCGGGGGCCCGCCGCTGGAGGGACCTCCCGGGCTTGGGCTCCTCCCCACCTCCCGGCGTGGTTCCGTTCCCTTCCCGGCCCTTCGGGTCAGCCCCAGAGCCTGCCGCAAGCCTCCGCCCCGCGCCCACTTCCAAGTCCAGACTGACGTGGGACCCCAGCAGGTGCCCCTTGCTCCTGTCCTCAGAGCAATGCCGAGGACTTGTACATGAAAATAGATAGCATTCAGGCGGACATCTTGGCGGCCAACAAAGTCAATGTTTCCAAAGGTGAGTGGGGGAGGGAGGGGACCTGGAGCAGAGGTGCAGCGGACACCCAGACTCAGGCTCGCCTCTCTTGCTTCCAGTATTACACCAAAGTGGCGTCCCCCGCAGCAACACTACCTTTTATCTTGAAGCTCATGACAAGGATCAGCTGGATTACATCTCATACTTCCAGAAGGAGGATATGGAGGGAAAGGAGTAACGGAGCCTCTGAGGCAATCCAGAAAGGTCCGGGCTGTGTTTCAGGAAGCCTGGGAGAAGGATCCTGGGGTCACGCTCACGGTGACCCCACTGGCCCTAGGTGGGAGGCTGAGGGTTGGGCCTGCCTGTAGGGGAGAGGGAGAGCTGCCTGCTGGCAGGAATTCAATAAATAGTCTTGCTATCTGTCTGTTCTCTCTGTAGCGGGGAGGGCAAATTAAATAAGAGCTTTGTTGGGCCGGGGTGCCTCTGCTCATCCAGCTTGCCCGGATGGAAGGAACATCAACGTTCTGGAAGATTTAAGGACATAGCCTGAGGAGAGACCCTCACCTCTGCTTCCTACTGGCCGTCCCCTGCACACTCACCTGCTTGTTCTCCGGTTACTTCCTCCTTCTCTTTTGCGGATTCATCCTCTCAACCCAGCTTCTTTCAAACTGGAGTGACCTTGAGGCTCTTTATTTTTTCACCCTGTTGATCTCATCCAGTCCCTAGACTTTAAATGCCATTTATATGCCATTGACTCCCACATGTCCATTTCCAGTTAAATCTTTCCACCTCTTTGTGTCCAAAACTGGACTCCTGATCTGTGCCACCCTCCCCAGCTCGACTGATGGCAACTCATTTCTTTCTGCCACTCAGAACAAAATAGCATTCTCCTTAATGTTTCTCTTCAACATCTGCATCCCGTTCTGTTGATTTTACCTTCCAAATATATCCAGAATCCAACCAAATCTCACTACTCTGTTGCTAATATCCTAATCTGAGCCACCGTTGTTTTTCCTGCTTTGTTTTTCCACCATTGTTTAAACTTCCCTAGAGGCCTTTCTACCCCATTCTCTTTTCAATACAGCAGCCAAATATATAAAATATATATATATTTGAGAGCAAGAGAGCACAAGCAAGGGGATGGGGCAGGGGGAAAGGGAGAAATGGGCTCCAGGCTGAGCAGGGAGCCCTATGTGGGGCGATCATGACTTGAGTGGAAGGCAGACACTTAACCAACTAGCCACCCAGGCGCTCCCCAAGGTAGTCCTTTTAAACTTAGATTCTGTTACTGCTGAAAACCTTGCAGGGATCTCCATTTCAAGAACAGTAAACCTAAATCCCTTCCTGTGGCCTGCAGAGAGGGCCATAGGCAGTCTAGTCTCCCATGATCTCTGAACTGTCTCCTAATTTTCTCTTCCTCCTTCACTGGATAGTATAGCTATATGGTTCTTAGAACCTATAGTTCTTGTCACCTCAGCTATATAGCTACATGGTGAACTCCCTCAACTTGCAACTCTATATAAAAGTCACTGTCTCTTGGGACGCCTGGGTGGCTCAGTTGGTTGAGCAGCTGCCTTCAGCTCAGGTCATGATCCCAGCGTCCTGGGATCGAGTCCCACATCGGGCTCCTTGCTCAGCAAGGGAGCCTGCTTCTCCCTCTGCCTCTGCCTGCCATTCTGTCTGCCTGTGCTTGCTCTCTCTCCCTCTCTCTCTCTCTGACAAATAAATAAATAAAATCTTTAAAAAAAAAAAAAAAAAAAAAGTCACCGTCTCAGTGAGGGCTGCTAATACTACCACGGCATATACTCTGGTCCCCAAGCCCCTTATGCTGCTATTTTTTTTTTCCCACAACACTTAGTACTTTGCATATGGTCTCTCTCTCCACCTGTATGTAAGCTCAACTAAGGGGTATTTTTGTTCTTTACTAATACATTCCAAACACTGAGAACAATGCTTGGCATGCCCGTGTTAATGACCGAGGTAATTGTGAGGAAATTGTCGTCAAATCAGAGGAAACGAAGTCAGATAGCAGTAATTCTGCAGGTGGCCACAAGAGGGCATCATCGGTCCCTGATAATGTTAAATCTAAGACAGCCCAGACTTTCCCTCAAACTGACTGACTGAGCTTTGAGAGAAGTTAACAAAATATATAGTTAAGCTTTCATAAAAGTAAGTGGTTTTTCTGGTTTTTTTTAATAATTTTTTTTTAATTTTATTTATTTGACAGAGATCACAAGTAGGCAGAGAGAGGAGGAAGCAGGCTCCCTGCGGAGCAGAAAACCGGATGCGGATGCGGGCTCCATCCCAGGACCCTGAGATCATGACCTGAGCCGAACGCAGAGGCTTAACCTACTGAGCCACCCAGGCGCCCCTGGTTTTTCTGTTTTAAAGAAGTGTTTCTTGGGGCACCTGGGTGGCTCAGTGGGTTAAAGCCTCTGCTTTCGGCTCAGGTCATGATCCCAGGGTCCTGGGGTCGAGCCCCACACCAGGCTCTCTGCTCAGCAAGGAGCCTGCTTCCCCCTCTCTCTCTCTGCCTGCCTCTCTGACTACTTGTGATCTCTCTCTGTCAAATAAATAAATAAAATAAAATAAAATAAAAAAAGAAGTGTTTCTTTGTAGTCTTCAGATGGCCTTTGTTTGTAGAATGATGATAAAAAGTTACCCTAGAAATTTTTTGGAAATTTGAATAATCGGGAAATCCAAAAATCTGGAAGCCACTGTTCTAAGGTGACCATAGTTTAATAAAAACAATGGAGGGGTGCCTGGGTGGCTCAGTCGTTAAGCGTCTGCCTTCGGCTCAGGTCATGATCCCAGAGTCCTGGGATTGAGCCCGGCATTGGGCTCCCTGCTCTGCAAGGAGCCTGCTTCCCCCTCTCCCACTCTCCCTGCTTGCATTCCCTCTCTTGCTGTTTCTCTCTGTCAAATAAATAAAATCTTAAAAAAAAAAAAAAAAGGAACTTTTAAAATTGAATCAAGTATAATATATATATGTAAATCATACACATTACATGGGATTTATTAATACATATTTCCCCCACTGTTTACAAGTTCAAAGCTACAAAGAGTTGAAAGAAAAATACAGTGAATAGGGCTCCTGGGTGGCTCAGATGGTTGGGTGTCTGCCTTCGGCTTGGGTCATAATCTAAAGGTCGTGGGATGGAGCCCTGCATTAGGCTCCCTGCTCCTTGGAGAGACTGCTTCTGCCTCTGCCTTTGCCTCTCTCTGTCTCTGTCTCTCATGAATAGAAAAATAAAAATTTTTTTTGAAAATGCAGTGAATACCTGTATACCTGTCACTCATGGACATATTTACATTCTCTCTCTGTTTACTGAACCACTGGAAAATTTCAGTTATTGAGGCACATGGCTGGCTCAGTCGATAGAGCATGCAGCTCTTGATCTCATGGTCCTGAGTTCAAGCTGCACATTCAGAGTAGAGATTACTTTTTATTTTTTATTTTTTAAAAGATTTTATTTATTTATTTGACAGACAGAGATCACAAGTAGGCAGAGAGGCAGGCAGAGAGAGAGAGAGAGAGAGAGAGAGAGAGAGAGAGAGGAGGAAGCAGGCTCCCTGCAGAGCAGAGAGCCCGATGTGGGGCTGGATCCCAGGACCCTGGGATCATGACCCGAGCCGAAGGCAGAGGCTTTAACCCACTGAGCCACCCAGGCACCCCTAGAGATTACTTTTTAAAAACCAAGCTTTGGGGGCACCTGGGTGGCTCAGTGGGTTAAAGCCTTTGCCTTCGGCTCGGGTCATGATCCCAGGGTCCTGTGATCGAGCCCCATATCCAGCTCTCTGCTCAGTGGGGAGCCTGCTTCCTCCTCTCTGTCTGCCTGCCTCTCTGCCTCCTTGTGATCTGTCAAATAAATAAATATTTATAAAAAAATAAAAACCAGGGGCGCCTGGGTGGCTCAGTGGGTTAAGCCTCTGCCTTCGGCTCAGGTCATGGTCTCAGGGTCCTGGGATCGAGCCCCACATCGGGCTCTCTGCTCAGCAGAGAGCCTGCTTCCCTTCCTCTCTCTCTCTGCCCGCCTCTCTGCCTACTTGTGATCTCTGTCTGTCAAATAACTAAATAAAATCTTTAAAAAAATAAATTAAAAAAAAAAAACCCAAGCTTCAGATATCATGACATGTCACCACTAAATACTTAACATTATGTTTTTACTAAGAATAAGGACATTCTCCTACATAATTACAGTATCATTATTTTGGTGGTCTGAGTAACGGTCCCCAAATACGTCCACATCCTATGCCTGGAACCTGTGAATATGTTACTTCACATGGTAAAAAGAATTTTGTGGTTGTGATTAAAGTAAGGGTCTTGAGATGGGGAGATTATTCTGAATTAGCCAGGTGGACCAGAGATAATCACAAGAGTCCTTTTAATAATTACAGAGGGAGGCAGGAGGATCCAGAGTTAGAACAGGAGATGACAGGACAGAAGCAAAAGAGAGTGATGTGAAGGCGTCACATACAGGCAGCTTCTAGAAACTGAATGAGGCAAGGAAACAGTCTCCTCTGAAGTCTCTAGAAGGAAGGCAACACCTTCATTTTAGACTGCTGACCTACAGAACTGTAAAGAGAAAAGTTTGTGTTATATCACCAAGTTTGTAGTTACTTGTTAGAACAGCAACCAGAAAACCTATACAATTACAAATATCTGAAATAGAGTGCATATGAAAATTTCCACAACTGTCCCCAAAATGTACCTTCTGTTTGCTTTCTCTTTTTTAAAAATTTATTTTGGGGGCACCTGGATGGCTCAGTCTTTTTTTATTTTTTATTTTATTTTTTTTAAGATTTTATTTATTTATTTGACAGAGAGAGAGAGAGATCACAAGTAGGCAGAGAGGCAGGCAGAGAGAGGAGGAAGCAGGCTCACTGCTGAGCAGAGAGCCCAATGCAGGGCTGGATCCCAGGACCCTGAGATCATGACCTGAGCGGAAGGCAGAGGCCTAACCCACTGAGCCACCCAGGCGCCCCCTCAGTCTTTTTTTATTTATTTTATTATTTTTTTTTTTATTTGACAGAGAGAGAGAGAGATCACAAGTAGGCAGAGAGGCAGGCAGAGATAGAGGAAGGGAAGCAGGCTCCCTGCTGAGCAGATAGCCGGATGTGGGGCTCGATCCCAGGACTCCGGGATCATGACCTGAGCTGAAGGCAGAGGCTTTAACCCACTGAGCCACCCAGGCGCCCCTCTTTTTTTAAATAAAAAAATAAATTTATTTAGATTTATTTTAGAGAGTGTGCATGAGTGGGGGAGGGGCTGAGAGAGGCAGAGAAGCAGACGCCCCCTGAACGCATAGCTGGATGGGGGGACTCCATCCCAAGATGCTGAGATCAAGACCCAAACAGAAGCCAAGAATAGGAGACTTAACCCACTGAGCTACCCGG